TAGGCTTTGCATCCTACCAAGTGGTTTGTGTTTCTAAAGAAAGGAGGGCAATGCTTTTATTTTTTCTCACCGTATTTAATAGCTGCATAAACCACCACCCCGCCCCTTACTTTCTGAATTCAGTATCTCTCTGTTGACAGCTGAGCAGAGACCGTAAGTTATGATTTGAGATGATAATGTGGGTGTGGGGTAAAGAGGGTGTCGCTGAACTTTCAAAACTAAGCTCCATCCCACTCCTGCAGTAGAGGCGGCTGTGTGCTGCTTCAGTCCCCAACCGTTGTACTTATAAAGTGCACGCTATCAAAATATACTTAAAATGTGTGCGCAGGCCATGTAGCAGCCTCAGGATGGGAAACAGTTAGGAAAGGACTGCACCACACAGCTCTAGCAGACCTGGAGTAATGCACAGGAAATGCTTGTAGAATATTGAAAGGATAAATCTGAGAAATAGTCCATGAGGCAGGGAATTTAATAAGGACAATAAAGGAGACATGGTCAGAGCTTTGTTCACCTCAAAACACATCTATTTAATTGTGTTTTACTTTTTGAGTTGCTTTTAATCTGATTGCCAAGTGATGCTGCTGCTGTTTTTATTTCAAATCGTTCTGACCATCTTGCCTGTAATCCATTTACAAGTGATACCACTACCTGGGGTTTGTCACCTGACACGTCATTCCTCGCGGCAGCGTTAGGCTTCAGACACACCATGATGACAAATCAGTCAAACAGGAAGATTCAAAAAGAAAATGCCATATCTTGACATGTAAGGCAGGGAGCTGGAAAGGAACAGGAGATTTGCGAGGCTGAGACCCATCTGTAATTCCACAATGGAGGGATTTCTCTTGTTCATCACAGTTTAAGCAGTTTATGTGACATAAGCATGATACATGTATGAGCTGACTAAAGGTTAAACTCTGCTTTTGGCTACATTGGTGAAAATCCAGTGGATGTTGACAGTTCTTGGACCTGCACTCATGTAAGCTAAAAGGAGAATTTAGCCAAAGAATTAATCAGGTATGCTATTCCCCACAGAACAGTCACAAGCAAATGCTGAGATGTCCTGAGTTTTGTCACAGATGGAAAAAGGCCTTGCAAACTCTTAAGGATCATCTGCTGCAGGAGACAGAAGAGCCCTGGGAGAACTGTGCTTTTTTAATGCCTGGAATATGTGCATCTCATAAAAGCAGTGATCAGCACAAAGCTTGCCAGCTGAAGCGGCTGTAGTGTGTGTGAACTCATTAAGTAAACTCATTTTTTAGCTATCGTTAAGATTGATTTCAGGTACCACGATAATCCCTTTTTCTCCTTTAATAAACACAGCCTTTCCATGCTATGTGAAAACAGAACAGCAAAGCAGCTCTTTCTGTGGAAGTTTAATGACATGAAATCTCAGCTTCAGTCAATTTGATGAGGATAGAATGTGATACTGCCTTCTGGGCACAAGACAATTATGCAGATGAAAAAACCCTTTGCAGGAAAACTTGCAAGAGTCCAGTGTGAATCTGTCGATCTATAGCCAAGGGTCCACTTCAGGCTTCCATTACCAAGTCCATTAAATACTTGGATGGGTACGTCAGTTTCTGCCTCTCTAATAAGAACAAAATAATTTCATTTGTCATATTTTTTTATGTAGTATTTTTTCCTGTGGATTTAAAGGGTGCTACTGCAGTGCATTCTCCCAGAGTAAAGAAAAACATTCTGCTTTTATGCAATTCAGATTTTTGGATGCCTGACTCAAAGGACTTCAGAGTTTCAAAAGTGCTGGGAATTTGCATTTTCAGATGCAGTTAATAGGATCTATAACTGACGTCTCAAAGTGCCTGCTCAAAATAGGAGCCCTCCTGCAGCATGAATGCTTCAGTGAGTCATCCCAGATCAAAGAGCGGGTTAGAAAGCAAGGCAAGGCAGAAACCAGATCTTCTGACTCCTGGTGTCTGGTTCGAGTGATGAGATTATACTGCTCCGCGGAAAGCCGGCTGCCAGAGGAGTGACCTATTTTACCAACGTAGGTCACTTCCATTAGCTCAGTAGTTATTGTTCTGTTGTTTTAATTAGTGCCATTTCAAATAAGTGGCCGGCTCTGTGGAAAGGTCAGTACCTTTCTGAACTCTTCCTCTGTAAAGATTACGTTGCTAGGGAAATGATACCGGAAAAGTAATCAATTCTTGTTAGACCTCCAAATACGACATGCAGTTGCTTAGCTGCTGGCCAGGCACATCTCAGTTCAGGAGATGACTCACTCCATCAGTGTAACCCAGAGCAAACATTGTTCAGCCCCGGCCTCGCCACATATGACAAGTACAAACATGTTTTGAAACAACACCAGCTGTTTAAGATGTTAATTCTGCAGGGGAAAAAGGGCAATAAATCCTGTTCAAGAAGAACTGGGATTCTCTGGTAACATTCTCTTTATGATATGTATGTAGGTACACCAGATAATCCCCATAACCATGAACAGGCTTACGTAGTTAACTCCTCTCTGTCACACAGAAAATACAGCTGCTGATGAAATCTTGAGATTCATGTCGGTGTGCCATCTGGCTAGCAAGACGGCTTCAATATTTCTCCTGTAAAATATAGTCCTTATTAAAAGGCCTGTCATATAAACTTCTCCATATTATTAGAGACAAAATAAAGCTTTGAAAATGGAATAGAGTCGTTATCATATTCAGGCTGGCTTTAGTGGCAAAGCTTGGATCATTAGTGGTCAACATCATTGCCATGTTATACTTCATGTACAGAAGGAGCCGTTCAATGCATATGGCTGGAAAGCAATGCATATTACCATGGTGCTGTACTTGACAAAGTAGCAATAAATATTGGTTATTACTCATATATTGAGCTCCAATGAAATTGTTAGCCAAATGAAAAGACTCAGAGCAACTGGAGAATTCCTGATGGGATTTATAGAAGTAACCAAATAATGGAGACGTTTAAATCCTGTTGCCTTCAGTAGCGCATGCCGTTTGTGGATGTGCGTACAACTTTTAAACACTACAGTCTACCAACGTAACAAAAACATTTGGAAATATTATCAGGATGCAGACATTTAAATCTAAAGATGTCTAAGCGAGTTATAGCTCCATCTTTTTATTTTCTGCTCGTACAAGCTTACTGCAGCGGTGCCTAAATGCAGACACAGAACACGAAAGGCACTTACGAATCAATGCACTTACCTATGTGTGGCATTTTAAACATTTAAATACTCCTTTTTATTTTAAGATACTAAGTTTACACTTAAAATTAAGCCTAATTTAATAGATTCTGCTGGATTAAGGTCTAAAATCAGCAACATTTTTGCATTTGCATGAATTAGTGACAGAGAATAATCTATTCACTTGAATTTACAAAGGGTTTTTAAGTTCTTAGCTGTATAATCTTCTCCTAAAAACCATGTCTCTTGCAACAGAGAAGTCCTTATATTTCTACTGGAATACTAGTATGGTACTGATTCAGGATAGAAAATAGTATCTTAAGCTGAGCTGAAAGGAATGTTTACAGACCTTTCAATAAGCTTTGGATCAAGTGATTAGTGAGGCATCAATACCACCACTATAATTCTGGCTTGGTTTTTTTCTTCATCAGTATGTCTGATCCAGCTTGTAACCCAGCTCAGACCTGTTCAGTTTAGGGCGTACAGCACATTAAAAGGATATTTACCAAATTAAGATAGTTTTCATAAAAAACCCTAATGTGATGTAGAATTGACAGGGTGCAATCAGGCAAGGTGCTAACAAAAACCGCTTACATTTTAGTTTTATGTAAATAACAAAATATAGAGGACTCAGGCAGACAGGATTATGTGATTTCTCATCAGATGGCAGGCAGAATTGCTTATGGTGATCTGCCATGAAGAGAAATGTGCTTGCTAAGAACTAATCTTTAGCTTTCAGTGCTGAGTATCTCTCTGATAGAAAAAGATGCTCCCAACTGGCGGATAAAATGTTGGCCTTACACAGAAGATGTGATCTAAAATATTTACTAGCCCTGTAATATCTATTCTGCCACAGTTACCACATCTCATACTGAGTACTGTTTATATAAAGGGAATATTGACAATTCAAAACAAAGTCCCTCAAAAATAGCCCACCAACTTTTTTTGGGGTCCATGTTTAAATGATTTTTTTAAAAAAACTGATAAAAGGAAAGAAAATTCCACACCATGCCCATCATATGACTGAGGAAATAAGGCTGATTGTATGATGATCTGTATTTGTGAATATCTATTAAATGTTGTGTTTTTTCCCACATAAGCATACAATGTTTATATCTGAAACATCCATTTTGATGAAAAGGTGCTTTTACTTTCAAAATAGAGGAGTTCAGCACTGAAATTTGCATAGAAAAACATTTTCTAGACTTCTAGAGCTGTATACATGGCCACAGCTGTCTACTGGGTTTTCAGGCAAACGCTTGACCTCAGCAATTTGAAAAAATATTTGTTTTAATCAGTTCAATTTACATATTTATTTCATCTCAATATAATTTAAAACCTTTTGCTAGACTTCTTTTGCAATGAAACCATATAAAATCCAGACAGATAAGCAGTTTGGAATAATATTTTCCCACCAGGATAAAGCACATATTTCATACTTTGGTATGCTTTGTGAAGTTTAATTAAACCCTTTCACTGCTTTCATCAGAATAATTTGCTACAGACAGTTATCTATATTTTGTGACTTATGTGATTTAAATAATTAGAATATATATGCACACATTTACTGTCTTTTTGAATATTGTTTTGATTTGGTACACCTATTGTCATGATTTATTTGTTCTTTTTTTTAATACCTTCCAACCCAAACCATTCTATGATTCTATGATTTGTTTGTTCTTTTAGTGTTGGCTCTGCATTACTTCTGCAGAGGCAAGGATGGAGACTGTTCTTTTAGATTTCTACTTACCATTCAAACTGGTGTTGCTGAGAATATAGTATAGAATCTGCATCGTATCTGTTGATGAATAACTGGGGTTTGGTTTTGGTTTGCCTTGATTTCTAGAAAACCTAGATACAATGATAGCTGAGCAGACAAAGAAGAAGCTTGAGAACCCTTCCATTAAAACCAGAACAAATCTACCACCAGCAGGTACTTATTCTACAATTTTGTCTCCTGGAATAACACATTTTTTAACCTATTCAGTTAAAAGCCTGCTAATTGCTTTAGAAGCCAGACTGCTAGTTAAAGATACAGTCCCTCAAGGACCTGTAGCCACAGCTTGGATGTCTAAACACATAACAAGAGAGGAATTTTTACTTAGTTGTCCAGTCTTTGAGAAGTATATTCACATCCTTCAGTGGAGTCCAGACGTTACACATATACAAAAGCAAGTGGTATTAATGCTTGTTAAGACTTAATAAAAAACCCATTCTTTGTCAACTTTGGATCTAGTGAATGCAAATTTCCTGTCATTTTTCTCTGCACAAAGGAATGTGCCTTTATGAACTACATATTATTGCATTTTAGTCACCTGTATTCGGCTACTGTTTGTAAGAGCAGAAACAGGCATTACTGTTTC